TTAGTACCTCTCCAGGCAAGCGGATAGAGACATGTGCAGTTGTTGACGGGGACATGCGCAGAATCTCAGCAGGGCTGGGATGATGCTCAGGTTCTGACAGATGCTGGAGGACAAAGACATTCACAGCTCTTTCCTCCAGCAGTGCCTGGAGAGCTAGGAACTCAAAACCACAGAATGTCATCACCAGGGCCTCTCTCCACTGCTACTCTGAGCCCTTCTTACAGCAACACAATAAACACACTCGATACCTTTTGTTGGATGTGAGGTGGACTCAGATACTAAGACAGTCCCTGCTCTGAGGTTAGTAAAGTAGCAAGGAAAGACCTGTTAGCAGTAAGGCCACAACTAAGAACTGTCTAAGCATTAGGCTCACTAGGGACAAGGCAGGGGAATAGGTGAGAAGAAACAGCAGTTGTTATTTGACACTGACCATCACTGTCCCAGGTACCAAACTTTGGTCTGCTCCCTTCAGTATCACTCAAAGGATGCACAGTCTACTTTGGAAATAACGTCCCCCACCACGCTTTACAGAATCTCCTGTATGTTGGCAATGCAACGTGGCAAGTGAAAGTGCTTCCCCATTCCTATGGAGACAAGAGTTGTCAAACAGCAGCTGTGCTCTGATATGACAGACCAGCTGCCAACACACCATAAATCTGTCCTAGAATAACCAGCTCCCATGCAGATCTGCCAGTCACACCTGAAAGCTGGCCTGTGGCATTCCCAGCTAAGCCAGCCTGAAGCCTTACCAGCCTACATGCAGCTCTCAACATTTTAGTCACTGTTATTCATGTCCAAGGTATTGCTCCACACACCTCTACTCCTTTGCCCGTACTTCTTCACACACACTCAGCTCCTGGCTTCTAAGAGAGTACATTATTTCAAATAATTTTGCCACAGAAAGAAGACAAAAGAACTTCGAACAGGAAAAAAACTCTGAGTCAAGGAAAGCTTAAGTATCACCTCTGTGGAGATGCAGTGTCCTTTTTGTTTTTCTTTCAAAAAAGAAATTTTCACTGAACAACTCTGGAAACATATTTGAGTCCAGGAGTGCCCTCTTACGACATGTCCCCAAGCCCAGGCAGAGCCCTAGGTGGAGGTGACTAGCTTACACATATGCCTGCCTTTGGCGCAGGTTGCAGCTGAACCCCAGCAACAGGCAGAAAAAAGCAGGAGCAAAACTGAAATAGATGTTAAATCCTGCTGCAGTAGACAAGCAGGAAAAAATAGTAGTCGTGACTTCCCTCAGCCTGTTTCTGAAAGTGTTTATCTGTCTCATTGCTGGGGCTTCCTCAGGGACTCTCCACCTCAGCGCTCCTTGTTGTAAAGACTGGATGAGCTCAGACAAGATGAAATTTACTGGGTCCCAGTATTTCACAGCAGCACTTGTCCAAGTTGCAGTGCTCTCAGCCTCGGTTTAAAGGTGGAGAAATACTGCCAGCAAAGAGGAGGTCAGGGTTACTGTAAGCCCTGTACATTCTCTGATCAACTGCGAGTGTCTCGCACTACCTCTCAGCTTCCTGCGAGATACCTGATCTAGCCATAGTCGTGACCACAAGGTTGTGCCCATCTGTGGTTCTGTCAAGAAACCAGCTTCTATCAGTGTGTCAGGTCAGACACTAGCAGCACTGTAGAAAGCCACCTAGATACCTTCTTTTCCAGAACCAGCCAGAATAATAGGAAGAGCCCTGTCTCCATAGACAGAAAGGAGACAAGGGTGGGTGGCCTACACAAGCCTGATGTGCTACCCAACACGTTTGGTCACAACACCCCTCTCTGCCCAAGGCAACTCTAGGCAGGGAATCCAGCTGAAGCAGATAAGCAATTTGTGACTTGACCCTTTATCCATGAGCTCACAAACCACAAGACTTTATTTATTTTTTAATAGAGTTCATAAATTAGCTCTCCCGAACCTGCCTCCTCACAATGAGATCATACATTTGCTTTAATTAGGGTCAAAGCAAAAGAAAAGAAAAAAAAAATCAGAAGCCTCTCCCTCAAGCTTGCTAACAGAACCAGAAAAGCGAACTACAAAATGCCTTTAAAAATGTTTTGTTTTGGATGCGGCTCCACCTTTTGGCGCAAACCTCTTCACATCCACATCTGCATTCAAAAAGCAAGATCATTCATCCAGCTAAACCTAAGCCAGGTAGGCAACTCTTGCAGTCTCTTCCTCAGGCCCTGATGCACATACTCCTTGGACTTGTACTGCTCTACTCCATAAAGTCTGTTTATTTACTAGTAATCTTCTCATTATTGATGGCATTTTGCTTAATCTCAGCACTGCACAGAGTGCAACAGCCCTGACATGAATTATTAAAAGATAATGGGAGCGTTAGCATTTCCTATCAGAAATCTCACCTATGGCTCAGTCTCTATGATAGAAACACCATTAGCAACAACTTCACCTTCTCATTCCCAGTGGTCTCAGCTGGAATCAATAGATTGCCTATATGCTACCTTCTGGCTGCCCAGTAGCACTACCCATGACAACAATTATGCATTAGCAGGGACTAGAGGAAGAGGGGCCCTGGGTCCTTTACCTGCTACCAGGAAGGGTGGTTCTGTGACAAAGACACTAGATGAGAAACAACTTCTAGGCAGACTCCATGCGTGACCTCAAATGAGTTGGTGGGTCAAGAACTTTGCAGCACTAAGACTCACAACTTGCCCCTGAAATCAGCATTAAAATGTGATCTACTCTTGTCATCAATGAGAGTAACAACCCTCCCTTTCTCTGCCTCATCTCTTTAGCCTGAAAATTCTCCAGGTGGCAGGACTGACTCCACCTGTTTCCATAGTAAGCAGCAAAATGGAGTCCCTGCCTTGATTTGAAACAATGGAATGCAAAGCTGTCCAGCTGTCCACTACCCAGAGCCATGCCTGCATTTACGCCCAGGAACTAAACATTTGCTACATTCCTCTTGAAAACACTGATAACGCCTAGTTATTGTCAAGTTATCAGTCTCCGACCGCGACTGCAAAAAAGGAATCGAACTGGAGAGGAAGGTGGAGCAGAGACAGTCATTTAAAACATATTTACTGTACTGTTTTTTCACATTAAACATGAGGTTACGGGCTATGACAACATGGAACAGTCACACAAACAGCACCAGGGAGAGGTGCAATTGGTTCTTTAACTGCATTTGTGTCTTCATTTGATTTAAGGTCAGGGATTAGCAAGGGGAGGGGCAACAAACAGGGCGAGAGTTTTGGTTTTGATTCTCTGGCACTGTAGCCCTGTTCAACACAGGTAAACTTTTATGAGGGGTAGAGCTGCCTGGAGGGAGGTGGGGGAATGCTATGAACACAGACAGTACAATGTTGATCTGCAGTATGACTCTGACCTTCCAGACCAACTCACCCAAGACACCAGTCGCTTGGCTGAAAACCTTGACGCTCCACATTTTATTCTTATGAAGGGTGATAACTTGCACAGGGTGAAATCTATCTCTCTGAAAAGAACCAAAACTTAGACACTACAGATGGTTCCCTGTGCCTTCAAAGTTTGAATTTAGAGTCTCAGCTTCAAACTGCTCCTCCATACAGTGGGGGTGCAATGGAAAAGAACTGCATTCTCCATGCTGGTATCATCCCGACAACGAGGAAGCGCTCTGTTTGCTCTTACCGTGTTTTGCACTTTATAAGCTGTGCTTCCAATAAAGCACAATGCCGTTAAAAAAACTCCTCCTCAATGAAATGCAGGGGATTCAGAACACCTCTCCCTATGTTCCTAAAGTTGCTCTTATGATTCAGCTCATGCCTTGCTCCTCATCCAATTCCTCCTGCTTTGTCCCAGTACTATCATGTTAGATCACAGCCCCATTGGTACAGCCTGCCTTTCCCATCCTGCTCAGCTGTTAACCTGCAGACTGGCCAAGAGACCAGCCTAGCACTGCATTCTGCACCTGGACCAGCACATGTATCCTCAGAGGTACGTGCTTTTGTTTGGACCCCAACAGCTTCCATACATACAAATCTGCTTCCTGATCCACCTGCTCTGGCACTCTCACCACTGCACACACAGACCAATCTAATCACAGTCACGATGGGGCATGGAGCTTGTGCAGCGTTTTTGCAAGAGGAACTTCCTCTCTGTTCCATCTCATGCCACCCCATCCCTAGAGAGTTCCAGGGATGTGAGTGAAAACAACTCCCTTCATCTAGCTTGTGATACTGCATGTTTTAAAAATGGAGATATAGTACATACAGCATTGCTCTGAAGCATATTGGACCAATGTAACAGATACTGTCTGTTCTGGGAAACAGAACTGCAAAAAAATATTAATTATTCTTCTCCTCCCTGGATATTTCCAGAAATTTCAAGATGCTGTAGTCTAGAATCCAAAGGATGTTACAGGTATCTTTAAAAAATGATTATAAATAGAAACAAACCCTTGGTTTCACAGATAACAAAAGCACTTTGATCCCATTAAAACAGATAATTGGCTCAACTCCTAAGTTTGGGGTTTTTTTTCTCACAAAAGCACAGGTTTATCCTTGAAAGTGTCTGCTGGACAGAGCAACTTTAGGCTGTTTCCCTGTGGTGCACACAACTTCATTCTCGGAGATTCAGTGCATTTCAGTTACTTGTCTCTCAGGTGCCCTCCTCTTTTCCCCTTCCTTTTTCTTCTAAGAAACCCCAAAATTCCTAAACGTTGTTACCTGAAAAAATTCCCTAGGAGAAGGTCAGCACTACTTAAGCAGATGAGGACAGTGAAGGAGGGGGATGGGAGAGAGAAAGAGAGAGGCTGAGCCGGATTTTCCCAGTGCCAGATTGCAACCTGGATCAGAACCTCATAATGTCATTCCTTTTTCTTTTCCATTTTTCTCTTCTCTGGTGTAACAGATAATAACACAGGGAGCAGCAGGGATAATATGTTCGTAGGTGTCTGCTGGATTTTCATATGGTTTCTTACCAATATGTTCTGTGTAGGCAGAGCAGAGACCTGACATTGAGAACTGAAAGCAGATGATGCACCCTTTCTACAGCTGGAATCTTGCAGAGTGAAATCACTTCACGGGAGATCTTTATTAGTGAATCTTACAAGCGCAATCTTTCAAAAAGGAAACTGAAGATGGCTTTAGGCAGCTGTCCAAGAGTGTCAGCAGATGCTTTTGGTTTTGTTGCCCAGGTGTGTTGCTAGCCTCCCACTTTTTTCCTGGTTTGCTTCGACCTCCGGGATTTCAGAATAGTATAGTTTGCATACCATGTGTACTGTTCTGAGAGGAGAGGGATGTAGAATGCACGCAGCAGCTTGGAGGACCTGAAACCAGAAAGGAAAAACAAATCATCCTTAAAGCGCTCATTTGCCAGAGTGTTCAAAACTATACAAATGAGGCTTTGCAAAAGATTTGGGCTGGTCAGTCAGTGACATGAGGAAGCTAATGGTTCAGGCATACCAAGCCGAGTCCCGTCTTCTCCCTGTTGGGGGGACCATTGCTGGTTTGTGCCAGCATCACTAGTTTAAGAGCAGCAGCTTGCCCAGTTCTTCAGCATGCCCCCTATCCACTCCAGTAGGACTAAGGGGGAGAGAGGACAGGAAGGTGTTGTGATTATTGAAAGAAACTTAGATCCCAGATATCACTGTCCAAAAAGCAGACAGTATAGCCCTGTGGGCCTTTCATAGCACACAGTCAGGCAGGCCTCTCGTTCGTCACGGCACGTTATGAAGGTGAAAGATAGCAAGGCTGCATTTAGCTCCTGGCATCTCCTCTTTTCTATCCAATCTTTCTGGCCTCCTGTTCCTCCACACACGTCTGAAGGGCAGACAGAAGCTTTGATGGGCACTGGCATTTTGAAGTTTTGCTCTTGTGCTGATCTTCTGTTGAGGGTATTGAATTAAGGAGGGATGGACTGCTCTAAACCCTACAAGGCAGTTTGCTGAAGGCTGCCAGCATTCACTTCATGCCCTGCTAGTGCCGGGAGCTGGCATTTCACAGCACTTTGCAACAATTGGACCAATGGAGTACTCAAGCATGGAGGGTTTAATGGCTGCATCAAATTAGTACCTTTTGTTTGGCTGCTAATTGCTGGAGCTGTGCTAGCTGAGTACATTTTAAATGCATGTATTCTCTTACTGAGCAAACTAATAGTAAAATCCAGGTTTAAATGCGAAGTGCACAAATATAATGTCCTTCAGCAGCAGCACTGAACCTTGCTAAAAGCTTCAAAAATTTGAGCAACTTACTGAAATCAGGCCTGGGGCAGAGTGTTGCTTCCTCAGTGTTGAAGCCTATCTCTTTATCGCTTTAAGATCAACTTGTTGGTAAACTATCAACCTTTGACAGACGTAAGTCTAACTCCATTCACATAAAGCTTGGAAAAGCAGCAGCAGCAGCAGCAGCAGCACTCAAATTTGATTTGCAGCATGCTAAGTGGTCAGGGATGGTACACAGATCCAGCATGTACTTGCTGGTCACTGCAGTTCACACAGCTTTGCTGGTAACCCAGCCAAGGTTCTGGACAGCCAATTCAAGTCACCTTTTCAGAAGAAAGATGAATTCTGCTTTGTTTGCTTATTGTAAGGCAGCATTGGATATCTTTCAAAAATGCAGTCTAAAAAACAATGGCAGGAACTGCTAATGTGAACTACATCTCCCCAGAGATTCCCAGAGTTCTTAGACAGCTTTACTGTAATTCATCTGAGAACAAGCAGCTCCTGATCTCCTGCAACTTGGAGTAAAAGACCATCCAGGAAAAGACGGGCGACACCTACTTTCATTAGCATAGCACCACTCAGCAGCAGGGTCCTGTTACATAAGATGCCATACAAGCAAGGCATTTTTCAGTTGAAACGATTAGACAGACAAAGTGACGGACAAAGCAGTACTCTTCCCACACTGGAGACGGGAAACTGAGGCAGAAAGTATGGTCTAACCTCAGACAGACTGAGCAAGTCTGAGTTTCTAAAATTTACAAGTCCCACTTCTGACTGTGAGACTGCCTCCTTTCAACATCCAGCATCTTGTAAGCCTGCTTTTTGCCAAGCACTCGACTTGTGCTTTAGGATATAAAAATGCTGATTGCTTCACTTTGAAGAACAAAAAGCTCAGTGATAATACTTAGGCCACTTACAAATTGTAAAGCACCCAGCAAAGTTGCTAAATAAAAGAATCACTGAAAATGGTTGCTCTTTGTGAATTCCCAAGGTGCTGGAATCAGGAACATGTTCAAAGCAGAATCTCTTAGTAGCAAATAACCAGGCAGAAGATGGTAATTTTGGCGTATTCTGAACAAGGAACTTTTTTTGCAGCTATCATTTTCTTGTGCCTGGAAATTGGCGGTCAGCCCTCCCTCCAGTCACTAGAAGCAAAGGTATCTCTTTGAAAACAAGTGCTTGATTTTCCTCCTCCATCTCTTGTGGCTAATGAACATCGTGTCACTGCTCAACTTACTCTGGCATCTCCTCCTCCGAGCCTGACAACCCACCACTGCTACCATGGATGCTCTCTGAGAGTGGTGTGGTTTCACTTCAATTCCCTTTAGCAAAGAAAAACAAGAAAAAGCAACTGTGTTCGAGCTGCCTGGGATGCTCTTTAAAAGGAGGAAACTGAAGAATAAGGAAGAGTACTAGCTTGCTGCTACATTGTAAGAAAGGGACAGAAACTAGCACAATTCCCCAGATCTCAGGGTGTGTGCTTGGGTTAAGGTGAAGTAATTTGTTGAATTAGACTTGTGCAGTTTAGCTCAGGGACAGAGAGCAAGGCAGCACCTTCAGCTGACAGCTCAGGTCCCGAGTATACAGTCTGTAGCACTGAAAATGCTTTCAGTCGCTCAGTCCAGACGTAGAGCTGACAGCAGTCAGACAACAGCACCCAGTTCACATCTTCCCCTTGACCTGGATGCATCTACATACTGACAGCCTGCCCGAGCCAGCATTACACGATGCAGCGGGCACCCCGTAATGCTCCATTGCTGGAGCAACAGAACTAGTGCCTGTGTTTACCCTCAATGCTGGTGCCTCTCACAGCTCTGCAGAATCACTGCTATCCTGTCTGCATTTCCTCTTCCTTACACCTTTTGCGAGGAACACTTCCTGTACTTTTTACTTATTGGTATTCTGAAATACAGGCCCAATGCATCTCACATGGTTGTGCTCACATAGTCTTTATGGCGTATGTTCAGAATATGCAGGGTTCAGCTTTGCTTTCTAGAACAAAAGGATATTCCAGGAGCTGATAGTAGCAAAAATCTCCTCCCAAATAAGCCAGCTCAGTGTAACCATCCTGAGTTTGCAGACAGCCTGAAACAACAACTCTGAGCAATGAAAGGTCTCCACATGCTCTTAACTTTGCTGGCAACTCAGCCCTTATTAGCAGCAGTTTAAATATCAGTGTTCACTGTTTCACAGTTTATATCAGCAGTGAAACAGGAGGAGAAAATACTGTTGGTAAAAAGATCATAAAAGGAGAGGCAGGAATGACTGATGGAAAAAAATACCCAGGGTGGGAAATGACAAGAAATGCAGAGCAGAAAGATAGCTGCTCTTCCCACCAGTGGATGTCACACATAACACCAAGGCACTCATGACAAACAACACTACAGTGAATCGGTGTGTAAAGGCCACAGCTGATCTACGTTCCTGTACTCCTCCCTCAAAACAAGTATGTGCTCCAAGAAGAGAGAACTGTAAATCTCATTTAGCCAGAGGAGACCCCAAAAGTAAAGGTGAACCTGCTCTTCGAGGTGAAATGATGTATTACTCAAACTGTAAGTCCACAAGGAGTCCTTGGTTTCCTCCAGGTGTTAGCTAGTCAGGCTGCTGGTGCCATAGCAAAATGACTCTTCACTAACAAGACTTATAAAGGTGATTAGGGAACAGTTTACATTGGTTCCAATTACCCAGTCTGAGGACACAGGTTAAAAAAAGGCAACAGAAAATAAAAGAGGCATCTTAAAAATAATAACATCTACGTGCTAAGAGAATCACATCTCAGATATAAAAACATGAAACCCTGAATATGACCTAGTAAATGGTAGCACCGACACATCTGCTCCACAGCTGTAAGGTCAGCCTCTGTAGTTGTTCAGCGGCAACGTTCTCACTGAAAAGAGACTCGGACTGGACATAAGCATGAGGCTGCTCTCTCTGCTGCTGGCTAACTACACAATAGCAAAGCCCTGGATGCCTGCTCTCATTAGCAGCCATGAGAGAACCATGGCTGCTGATGCACCTACAGCTCAGGAAGTCATGACAGAGCTTTAAATTCAGACAGGGAACCTTTACCTCCTGTCACCTTGCTTCGTCGGGCTCAGCAACCTCAGACAACAGATGGCACATGGAAGGGGATGGGATGACAGATGACAGTGAATATATATATAATGTTCTATTTGCATTTGCTTCTAAATTTGTCCCCCAGAGACTGTGAATGTGTGTAGCCTCAATCAGCATAGAGCTCCCAAGCAGCATGTTGGTAGCAAGATCAAGGCCACAGTCACTCCAAGCTGGGTGGCCAAGGGTCTGGTGCAGCGCTACTGGAACACTGATGCAGCAAGGCTCTTTCAGTGGTGGGCTCCAGTCTGGAGCCAGGCAACAGGCAAATTCTGCCCAGCTCTTGCTGTGCTCCAGACATGGGAGTTATCCCACATTCTGGGGCGGGGGGGGGCTTTTTTGGTTTCTAGGGGAGTGACTGCTGCAGCACCCAGAGCAGCAGCCAGTTAGGATAGACATGCACAGTTATCAGTAGGCCCAGGAAAGCTGGAACCACAGTGCTGTTTGGTGCTAAATGTATTTCCGTCAATTACCTATTGGACTTCAGGAAAAGCAACTCCACAGTCTTATTCTAACACCAGTGGAGGATCTTCTGGAACGGAAGCAAGGGCTGCTAAGTGAAGATGTTGAAGTCCCCGCTCCCAAGCTCATAGACTGACATGGAATGGAACCAGTTAGATACACGTAGTGGTGGGAGATTCTTCCTAACTGCATCTTGTAACCTGAACTTCTTACCCAGTGGCAGCAGAATTCAGAAAGAAGCATAAGAAAGAAGAAGGGAATGGCAGAAATAAGAGGCAGGAGGAAGCTGAATCTCTGCCACAAGGGCAGAACCTAGTACCTTCTAGCTACAGGCATACACAGGAAGCTCATGATCAAAGCTCTCCGAAAACCCATTAACATTTGCACTTCCTCTAGGTGTTAAATTTTGCACCAACCATGCACCTAAGAAGTAATTTAACTATTTGTAAAACAGAAGTAGGGAAAATATTTCATGTAACGTGGAGGAAAGCACCATTAAAGAGAATGAGACGGAGGCTCTTCTCAAACCA